AGCGAGCTACCGCTTGAGCCACATCCCCAGCCCTCAATAAATATTTTTAAATCATGTTATAAAATTCAACCACCATTCATGACAAAAACTGTGAGCAAACCAAGGAAAAGAGTCTGTACAAATAATTTATAGCTAATATTATATTTAACAATGTAAAACAGTTTTTCCTAAAATCTGGAAGCATGCTCTCATTACTATTTGTCATCATACTGGATGTCCTATCTAGCACAATTAGACAACAAAAGAAAGGTGTACAAATATAATAAAACATGTTCAGGATCTATATACCAAAAAATAACAAAACATCAAGAAAATATCAAAGACCAAAATAAAAGGAGAGATACACCACATACATACTTGCAAGATTCAATATTGTGAAGCTGTCAAATCTCCCCAAATAATTCTACAGGATTCAACACAATTACAATAAAAATCCCTGAGCAGGCCATTTTTCATGGAAAGTAACAAGCTAATTCTGAAATTTTTAAAGGAAATGAAAGGAACTAGACCACCCAAAACAATTCTGAAAAGACCATCGTTGGAGGACTCACACTACCTGATCTACAGACCTAGTCTAAAGCTCCATAATCAAGACAGTACAATATTGACAAAAGGGTAGATAAGTCAATGGAACAAAAAAATATTTGGAACAGGAAAATGGAATAAAAGAGAAGACTCACACATGTCTGGTTAGTCGATTTTAGCCAAAGGTGCAAAGAAAATGTCTTTTCAACAAATGATGTTGAAATAATAGGACATACTTATGTAAATGAAAAGAATTAATGATGTTGACCCATACCTCCCTCACACCCTAAACCAAAACTAACTTGAAAAGCATCATAGGCCTAAATGTAAAATCAGAAACTAAGAAAACTTTCAAAAGAAAAAGAGGAGAAAATCTTTGTGGCTTTGGGTTAGGTGATAATATCTTAGATATGACACCAAAACCATCATTCATAAAAGAAAAAAATGATAAATTGGACTTCATTAAAATTATATCAAAATAAATTTTATTGTCATGTGTAACTAAAAATAACCATTAATTAATTAATTAATTAATTAAGAGTCTTGCAGTGTCAAGAAAATAAAAACAAAAACCCCGGACAGGCAGAAACTATTTGCAAAATATGTACCTAATAATATGCATTACATATTAAAAATATACTCAAACATCAATAAAATAATACAGATTTTAAATGGCAAAAATAGTTCTTCATTAAAGAAGATATATATATAAATGTCAAATAAGCACACAAAAAGGATCATTTGTGTCATTAAGAACATGCAAATTGAAACTATAAGAAGCTAACTAATCTTGCTGAAATTGAAAAAGATGGCCCACATATGCTGGGAAAAAGGTGGAGAAACTGGGTCTCATGCTGTTAGTGGCAATGTAAAATGGTACAACCACTTTAGAAAGAATACAGTTTGGTGTAAATATGATCCAGACATCCCACTCCTTTATCCCACTCATTTATCCATGAGAAAGGAAAATATGATGTCCATACAAAGACTTACTACACAAAAATGTTCACAGCAGGTTCTTTTAAGACACAAACACTGTAAACAATTTAATTGTCTATCAACAAGGGAATGAATAAATAAATTATGTGGTGGAACATAGATTCATAAGCAAAAAGAAAGCACATTATTTTTATGCACAATAACATAGGTAGGAAGGAAATTATTTATAATTACAGTATCTTTATTAAGTATCACTAAAGCCAAGTGTGGTGGTATACAGCGGTGGTATACAGCTGTAATCCCAGCAGCTAGGAGGCTGAGGCAGGAGTTCAAAGCCAGCCTCATCATCTTAGGGAGGCCCTAAGCAACTCAGTGAGACTCTGTCTCTAAGTAAAATACACAAAGGCTGAGGATGTGCCTCAGTGGTTATGTGCCCCTGGATTCAATCCCCGAAACCAAAAAAATAAATAAATAAATAAAGAATCACTAAGAACTGGAAGCAACCTGAATTTAAATAGGTGAACAAACACAATACATTCACAAGAGACCACCACTCTGCAATTAAAAGGAATGAACTACCTGTCAATAACTATATGGATGCATCTCACAAATACATCATGCTAAGTGAAGAAGGTCAGACTGGAAATGCTATAAAACCACATGGTTCAATCTATAGGGATTCTGGAAAAGGCAAAACTTCAACTCAGAATGGTTGTCTCTGGATGCCTTGCTGAAGAGATACAGCTTGGTTCAAGTAGCACAGCCTCTGGTATCACCACACCTGAATTTGCAGAGGCACTTGGAGTAGTTTACTTGGGCTCAATGCCAGTACTAGCTGTGTGACCTTCACATTATTTAATCTCTCTGTGCCTCAGTTTTACTATCTGAAAAAATGGATAATAATTTATCTTACCACATACAGTAATTAAGAGGATCAAAAGTAGCCAATATTTGTAAAGCCAGTCTGACATCGAGTACATCTTCTATAATTCTATAATTGGAGCCATTCTATAAATGTTATTTCCTTTTTCCTTAAGAAAAATCTTATGTTAAAATCTTAAGGAGAAAGAAAGTTAACAGCCATTCTGGAATTTATACTAATGCCAGAGAGCACATTTAATTCTCTGATAGACTAAATTAAGTGACCCCATACTTATCTGACATTTTCCCTACTATAGCAGAGCTCCATTGTTTAAAGAATAGAGGGTAACTTTATATTGAAAAAGAAAAGAAAATCCAGAAACTCAATAAATGGAAAACCCATAGCAATTATTTGTCTAAGAAGTTTAGAAATCTTTTAAATCATTAACTCAAGGTGTTTTGGACTTCAAAAACATGTACACTGAAAACAGTTGAAGCTACATACCAGAAAAGAACTAAAATTGGGACTGAAGCCCTCCTGCTTTTTTTTTTTAAAGAGAGAGTGAGAGAGAGAGAGAGAATTTTAATATTTATTTTTTAGTATTTGGCAGACACAACATCTTTGTTTTCATGTGGTGCTGAGGATTGAACCCGGGCCGCATGCACGCATGCCAGGCGAGCGCACTACTGCTCGAGCCACATCCCCAGCCCAGCCCTCCTGCTTTTATAGTTAGATTTTCAAGGGATGTGAACCCTAAGATAAAGCTTCCATCTGGAATCCTATGAGATCCTCATAAATTGTTTAAGGGGCTCAGTATACCAGTACCTTAGAGCACAGCATTGTTGCAGTTAAAATAAACCTGAGTCTCCCTGCTATACAGTGATTTAAGGATTATCTTTGTTTAACAGAATAGACGGATTTTTGTGACACATGCCTGTTTGGGCTGAGAATGATCTACACAATTATATTAAGACCAGGATACAGCTGTTTGTGACTAAGCCCATGCTCACCAAACAAGTACCAGCTGAGCATTATACATCACAGACATCTGTTTCCTGTTTTTATTCTTCCTTTATCATTCTATCCCCATTTCCTTTCACCTGTAGGCCACCCAAGACAACCACAATTAAGCAAGCCTTGTGCTAAGTGTCTTTTTCCTTCAGACTGTTGTCAGGGTAGCTTAGTCATTCTACTTGCAGGGGTGGGGAGGGAAACCCAAGGACCCTCCAGAGTATATCCTGAAACTGGAAGGTTATTGCCTATGGTACAGGAGTGTCTTTAGGTGACTAACTTCCTCCTCCACTTCCCATGAAGAATTCTTCCTGTAGAAGCAGTATCAGCCCCTGCAAAATTACAACTGTAAACTGCATCATTAAAGAAAACCCTCCTTCACAAATAAGGCAATAACCTAACCTAGGGCCACGGCATACAAAATGGTATCTCTTGCGTTTATTTTCACACTTCATACCAGGACACAGAACACAGGATGTGTTTACATTTAAGGAAATTCATTTCTATGGAAACAGTTGAGGTCAAAGCAGTTCTCCTTAGCTCAAGGCAACATCTTTATCCTTAAGGTACTGCACCTGAGTTTAGCTCAATAGTAGAGTGCTTGCCTAGCATGCATGAGGTCTTGGTTTGATCCTCATGTACCACAAAAGCAAAAGAATCTTAGAGGATAAAAGGTTTTATAATTGAAAGAGACTTTAGAGTTTATTTTACATAACATTGTGTTTCACAGTCACTGTATTATTACATACAGTTTAAAAAAGGTAAAGTAACTCGTATAATGCATTCCATTGAATGGTTTAAGAATATACGGCAGCACAGTTTAAATACCTAATAGGAAATACTCAGGAGAAAGTGTCTTTAAAATATATTTGAAGCCAGGCACGATGGCACATACATGTAATACCAGCAATTTGGAAGGCTGAGACAGGAGGATCACAGATTCAAGGCCAGCCTCAGAAATTTAGGGAGACTCTCAGCAACTTAGCAAGATCCTTCTTGAAACAAAACATAAAAAGGACTGAGGATATAGCTCAGTGGTAAATCCCTAGAACAAAAAAATAATAATAAAATAAAAATATGTATGTGCGTACATATATTATCTGTATATCTCTATAGATACATATATACACGTACGTATATACACATTTGAAACAGGGCTGGGGTTGTAGCTCAGTAGAAGTGCATGTTTGGCATTAATGAGGCCCTGGGTTCAATCCCCCAAATTAATTTAATTAAATAAGATAAAATAGATGTAATAAGTTCTGTACAATATACACAAACTATCTCCTTTAGATTAAAAAAGAAGAAAAACTGGAAAGTAGGTCAACAGTAACAGGAAAAGAATATGGACTTTTGCTTCTTTTAAAACTTCAATATTAATGTCAAAACAAGTAGGAACTACTTTTTGTTCTGACAGGAAATTTGAGGAGATTTGTCCCAACAGTAACTTAAAAATAAGATTTACTCAATTCCCGACTCTTAGGAACTCTTAATAGTTAATAAAAACACGTTTTCTTTGTCCTTTGGCTTTTTTATTTGCAACTTTTTTGGCATTTATCATCTCTTCTTTCTTATATCACATGTAAATGTAACTTTTTAATCGCCTAACACTGGAAGTATAAGATGTGCTGTCAAAATGTTTAGAAAAAGCAGGCACAGGGAAAAAAAAAAAATACCTCTTCTCTGATGGTTTCCTGTACTTTGTCACACTCTCCTTTGAAAGTATTGTGCACAACAAGATTGGTGAATTAAGTAATTTGTTGACTGTGATATAACTCACTAAACACAGCATTTCAGAATAGTAGATGCAGAATTAAAGAATTCTGCACTTTCCCTGAAATTTTCTAATGTGAATTAACCAACCAGAGTTGAGGTTTCAATATCAAAATTGATGTCAATCCTCTTGCTTGTTTAACATTTTACATACTCTTATTCACTCATCATAACAGAAGTTTTCAGCTAAAATAAGCTGCCAAAGAATTCAGGCTCCCTTCAGAAGGGGACTATAACCAAGGTATGGCCCATAGGAGGTAAACAGAAGTTTTGTGTGGCAACCTCTGGGTACCTACCTTCCTTAGGAAGCTGGCTTGCTCCTGTTGGTTCTTATTTGGATCATGAGAGTTTAGGAGGGAGAAGCCCCAGGCTCTGACACTTCCTACAGCAGAACCAGCAACCAGTCCCCAACTGGGTGGCCACCTTGTGAGAAAAAAACAAAACTACCTCATTCACACACTGTGATTTGGAGCTCTTAAAAATGTAGCCAAAACTAACCAACTTGAAGTCACTTGGAGTCTCTGAAAGATAAAAACTTGTTTTTAAATTTTTACCCAACCTTTGGAATTTCTAGGATTTTATGTTACCACAGAATAAGGTCTTCATGATTCTTATTTCCAGGGTATAAGGAATGGTTTGGTATCAAGCCAAATTGCATAATCCTGGATAAAAACTGAAGTATACTCCCAATAAATTATTTTATAAAGTTTCTACCTCAATGCATGAGGTAGAAAAATTAACAACAGAACACTACATGACTTAGCCTTTTAATTTTTCATTTTAAGAAAATAACCAGGGCTGGGATGTGGCTCAAGCAGTAGCACGCTCGCCTGGCATGCGTGCCGCCGGGGTTCGATCCTCAATACCACATACAAACAAAGATGTTGTGTCTGCCAAAAACTAAAAAATAAATATTCTCTCTCTCTCTCTCTTAAAAAAAAAAAAAAGAAAGAAAGAAAGAAAATAACCAGCCAAGAATCATTTTATTTCTATTATGGAAGAATTATGAATTACTTAAGATCAATTTTTAATTGCTCAAGGGTAAATTAAGCTTTTATAAGATTTAGATACAATATATCTTTGAAAAGCTAATTTAGCTTACTAACTCTTAAATTAAACTGAGTTTAAGTCCTGCACTATGGCATGAGCCTGTACTCCCATCAGCTCAGGAGGCCAAGGCAGGACTTCTTAAGCCCAGGAGTTCAAAAGCTTATTCAATATAGCAAGACTCCACCTCAAAAACAAACAAAAAACAACAAAAGAAAAATGAGTTTAACTTTCCCATTACCATTTTTATTGTGTACATAATCACTGAACAAGTTTTCCAAAGTTTTTTGAAATAACTAAAGGACAAAGGTCTTCAATGTCTCACATAAATAGAATTATGTCTGTTAGAATATTTCTTTAAGACAGAATACTAATGGTTAATCATTATTGTCTAATCTCATCAGTGCTAGGAATTCTTGTTTCTCTAATCTCCCATATTGCCAGAAAATATATTACTTAGGAGTCATTCACTAGGTTTGCCATGGTGGTGCATGCCTGTAATTCCAGAAGCTCTGGAGGCTGAGACAAGAGGATTACAAATTCTGAGGCCAGCCTCAGCAATTTAGCAAGGTCCTAAGCAACTTAACAAAACCCTGTCTCAAACTAAAAAATAGAAAGGGGCTGGGATGTGGCTCAGTGGTTAAGTGCCCTGAGTTCAATCCTAGGTACCAAAAAAAAAAAAAGTCAATCATCAGCCTAAGCTCACCTTCCTGATCACCTTCCTGATCTTGCCTCTGAGTAGCAGAGCTCTGAGGCTACTGATTAAAAGGAGCTCATTTTATCAGCTCATTAGCACCTGCTTCAATCTTAGTTGAGCAGGCCTACTAATCAACCTCTTTCCACTTGTGTTTAATTCTGACATGAAACAATAACAAGGCAGAAAAGAAAAGATCATAAAAAGATGGACTAGAAATATTTTTAAATATTTATAATTGTCCTTCAATCAACCAGCAGAGTCTGAATCTTTGACACACAATCTACACGGTCAATTCCTATGTGCAGTCCTTATTTTCTGCAGTGTTATTTTAATTTTAGATGAAAATGAAAAAGAGATATGACTACCCTAACAACTAACAGCTGAGGAATTATACATTCATGAAATGCAAATGATTATATACAATGATTGGAGAAATCCATATGCTTCAGTCCCTTTTCTGGTACTCTGTTACAATTCTGCTTTGCTGGAAGGGAATTCATGAGCTATAATACTTGAGGAGATTCTCATCTGTAGGTTTTAGAATTTTCTTATCTGCCATATTCACCACCCATCCTGGAGCAAGACCAAAGAAGATCTGCCTTGGATCCTTTCGAGTACTGAGCATTTTAAAGAGTTCATCTTTAGTGATATCGGGTAGAACATAGCCATACTTCTTGGCAAGTTCCAGTCTTGCTTCAGGAAATTTGGCAGGATCCGCCAGGTAACCTCGGTTCTTTGCATCAGTATAATATGGCACCAGTGCTTCAGGGGGCAGCATTCGTTTTGGAATGGGTTGTCCACGCAGAAAGAATGGAACAGGTTTGCACAGAATATCTAAAAATGTTTTAAATTAAAAAAGAAATACAAATTATTGGCTCTATACTGTTACAAATTTTCTTATAATTACTAATTTTCAATTACTGAGATGAAAACCTAATTCCAAGAACTTTTTTATTAAGTAGGCTTATACTGAGTAAGCAAATGCAAATAATTCATTTTAAATAGTTTATATCTTGAAAGCCAAAGTCACTTCTGGGCAACAAATGATTAGGGAATGTCTAAACACAGGTAACATTTATTTAAGCTCTATGTTTAAAAACACAAAAATAAATTTTTATGACATTGTCTACATGTATTAGACCAGATAGAGTTCTGCTAACCACACCATTAATAGGAAATCCTAAAACAGAAAACCAAGGTTCCAAACTACAAGTCAAACAGCTTTGAAAGCATTTAATATCTTCATATCGGGATCTTACTAGTTTAAAAAATTAGAAATATTCATTAAGATTTCTGGAAAACCAATGTTATTAAAATTAATTCTTTTAACTACAGAATAGGCAAAGAAATCTCTTGTGAAACCAACCAACAGAGGATTGCTACACAATCTCAGTTTTGTTTTTAAACGTCCTCTGACTCTGAGGGGTAAGAAAAGGCAATACATAGACATGAAATATCACTGATGCCACAGCCTTTTGATAGTTTACAAAACAATTACACAAATACACAATTAGTTGTAAAAAAACAATAATGTCCTACTCATCACGCTTCAGTAATGCAACCTTAACCTTAGCAGGAAACAAAACAAATCACATAAATCAAAACAAGCTCAATAAAGAACTTACCAAGATAGTACACATCACAGGGCAGTGACAAAGTTTCCCTGATTTAATCCGTTCATACATACAAAGTTCTTATTATACAATAAGGTATCTGTGGATCCTCACCCACCACACAATAAGCTCCAGAAGGGATTTCTGACTCGTGAACTGTCATCTCTCCATCATATGGAATAGTGTCCAGCAAATACTAGACATTGACTAAATATTAGCTGAATGTAAGAATCTGACAGGTGCCTTGTACATCGCATTATCTAGCAGTATCCCAGCATAGGGCAAGTGAGAAATGGTCATTAGGAGAAGGTCTCTAGACAGGCCACTCAGAAGAACTAGAAGATGACTATCAAGGGTCAAGACCAAGAGTGATAAAAGCAGAGGCACCAAAAGCTAATTTATGCTCTGGACAAAAAATTCTACATACTGCACTTATACCAGAGGATAATTAAATATCTGATATTCTCACCAAGAAATTACCTGTAGAAACTGAACAGGCCTTCACAGAAGAAATATAAATGGTCAAGAAATATGTGAAAAAAATCTTCAACATCTCTAGCAACTTAAAACTATACAATAAATTAAATTTAAAACTATACTACAAATTAAAACTACATTTTAATTTAAAAGATTCCATCTCACTCTAATCAGAATGGCAATATCAAGAATATGAGTAACATTCTGGCAAGGATATGGGGAAAAAGGTGCACTCATCCATTGCTGGTGAGACTGCAAATTGGTGCTATCACTCTGGAAAGCAGTATGGAGATTCCTCAGAAAACTTGGTGGAATGGACCCACCATTTGACCCAGTTATTCCACTTTTCGGTACATAACCAAAAGACTTAAAATCAGCACACTACAGTAACACAGCCACATCAATGTTTATAGCAGCTCAACTCACAATAGTTAAACTATGGAAGCAACCTAGGTGCCCTTTAACAGATGAATGGATAAATTATACATACACAATGGAATACTACTGAGCCATAAAAAAAAAGAATGACTTTATGACTTTTGCCAGTAAATGGATGATTCTGGAGATTATCATGCTAAGTGAAATAAGCCAATCCCAAAAAGCCAAAGGCCAAATATTCTCTTTGCTATGCAGATGCTAACGCACAACAAGGGGGCAGGGATAAAGAGTAGAAGTGTAGTGGATTAGACAATGGGGAATGAAGGGAAGGTAGAGGGGATAGGAATAGGGAAGACAGTAGAATAAATTGGACATACACCACCAGTGAAACTACACATCATGTACAACCACAAGAATGGGATCCTAATTAGAAGTTATACTTCATATATATATCCAAAATATATTCTACTGTCATGTACATCAAAAAAGAACAAATAAAACAAAACAGAGTGTGGCAGGTTTTTAGTTTTTTTTTTTTGTTTTTTTTTTTGGTGGTGGTGCTGGGAATTGAACCCAGGGTTTGGTGTATGCAAGGCAAGCACTCTATCAACTGAGCTATATCCCCAGCCCCAATTGTGGCAACTCTTAAAAAATAAAAATAAATTACCTTTGGAATATATTTAAGAAAGAAGTTCACAAAATACTTTATATAAGCTATCCTCACTTTTAAAACTTTTTTTTTTCTGGTAAGGAGTGAATAAAGACACAGTATATGGGAATAACCTTGTTTCTCTGAGGAGAAAAAAGTTTGCATCAGTCCACAGTCACCAAATAAACTGTATGCACCCATACCCCAAATTTACTTTAGGTCTAAAACATGACTGGATAAAGCCATTAAAAGTTCTAATAAGGGGCTAGGGTTGTAGCTCAGTGGTAGAGCACTTGCCTTGCATGCATGAGGCACTGGGTTCGATCCTCAGCACCACATAAAAATAAATAAAGGTATGTGTCCATCTACAACTAAAAAAATTAAAAAAAAAAAAAAAGAAAGTTCCAGTAAGTGGGCTAAGTAGAGTGGAAGGCACTGGGTTTGATCCTCAGCCCCACGAAAAAATAAAATAAAATAAAGGTATGTATCCATTTACAACAAAGAAAATATTTTTTTAAAAAAAGTTCCAATAAATTAGGAAAACGTGCTTATGGCTGCCTAATCATACAAAAATGCAAAATAAATCAGGCATTATTCATCATGATCAAAGTCTTCTCATTAAAAGAACAGGCATCAGCCAGGTGTAGTGATCCACTCAAGTAATCTCAGAGGTAGCAAACATTCAAAAAATGAAGAATTTATTCTAAACTTTAAAAAATTTGGCTCAACATGATGGTGCATGCCATAATCCCAATAGTTCAGGAGGATGAAGCAAGAAGATTGCAAATTCAAAGCCAAAGCAAGCAACTTAGTGAGGCCCCATCTCAAAATCAAATATAAAAAGGGCTGGGGATGTGACTCAGTGGTAAAGCTCCCCTACATTCAATCTGAGTACAAAAAAATAAATAAACGTTTGACTAAATCAACTCTGTTCGATCACAAAGAGAAAGAACTCTTACTTTTAAAATATCCCTTTTAAAAAGGGAAGAAAAATGTGTATTTATTTTCCATAATTGAAAAAGTACAATTAAGTCAGTTATTCAGAAAAAATTACTAGTAAATGTTAAACGTGTGACTTCATTGCTTAGTTAATGAAAGGCTCCCAAGACAACTGCAGAGTAGCCTGGAAAGGCCAAGCCCAAGAGTCTCAAGGATGACGATGACTCCCTAGACTCCAGCAAATGGCATCAGATGGCATCTGTCTGGTGAGCAAACACCACTGTCATACTCTGTGGTGACAATGACTGAAAAATATTATGACATCAAAAAACCTTCCAAAAATATTTGTGATTAATGTAAAGAAAAATATTCATTTTCATATTCAAGGAAGCTCACTTTAAAAAATGAGTGATGAGGGACTGAAATGAGAGCAAATTATTTTACATGCTTGAGTATTTTACATGAGTGTGTCAAATAACCTCACTATTATAAATAAATATAATACACTAATAAAAATATTTTTAAAAAATGCGTGACAGACCAAGTTGAGGCTCATCTACAATAGGAAGAAAATGAGAATTATGATTTATATTTTTATAAACTTTCAATTATGAGGAAAATGAAATGGTAACTAATTGTTTTAAATTCTCCATACAAAGAATATGAATATTTCCTTTTCTACTTTATACATCAATTTTAAAAGAATTTTCTTATAATTGAGCCATTTGGTCATAAAATGTTTAACTCCCATTTTAATGTAAAACCATTAAAGAATACTTTGTAAAAGCATTTAGTCATCAAGCTGTGTTTGGTTTTCATCTCTTCAATTTAAATTGAACTGAATGAAAATCTCATTCAAGGAAGAGAGGGAAATAAAATTATAGCTGGGTGTGGTGGCACACACCTGAAATCCCAGGAATTTGGGAGCCTGAGGCAGGAGGATCACAAGTTCAAGGCCAATCTAGGCAAAAAAGTGAGACCCAGTCTCAAAAGAAAATATAAAAAGGGCTAGGGATGTGCTTCAGTGGTAAAGTATCCTTGGGTTCAATCCTCAGTACCAAGAAAAAAAAAAAAGAAAAAAACATCTGCTGATTTGTAACGGCTACCGAGAACACACACAACTCGGGGAAAGGATATAACTGTACATGTGCACGTGTGTGTGCACGTGCACATGCATGTTCCTGCGAGTATGGGTACATATATGCATGCATATGCTTTTGGGTAGGCCTACATACACATGTGTGCATGTATGTACTTATGCATGTGCACGTGCTCTTTTATTTAGTATAGTCAGGAATGATCTCCCTAGTACATGAAGAAATGATCTCTCCTTCATGGCCCAGAGCCATGAAGATTCTAGGTGGAGGGAGTAATATCTGGGAAGCACCCAGAAGTATCTAGGAGGAGGGAACAGCTAAAGAAGAAGCCTGAAAGTGAAGGGGCTTGGCATGAGAAGGCAGGCCAGGGCAGGTGGCCAGTGATGGAACTAAGCAAATAGAGGGAATAGTGGGAGTGAGGCAGAAGGTGGTCCAGATCACACCCAGCCTCAAAGGAGCAGCAGGGATGCCACTGGAGCCTTTGTGGTAGCTCATGTTTTAAATGAAATCCTGTGCCAGGTTCTACCACAGGCAGGACAGACACAGAGAGATCAGGTCAAGTATCCTAGTCATGCAGGCAACAGGATAGTGGTTTGGACCACATGGGCCACATGTAGCTGGATTGTGAACACAGTATGAAGAACAAATACATAGGGTTTATTTGGATGTAAAGAAAGAGTTCAGAGGACTCCAAATGTGGAATAGGAAACCAGAAAGATGGAACTGTCACTTACACAGGGGAAAATGCAAAAATAGCATGAGGTAAAAGAGAAAAGAGACATTCTCCACATGTTAGGTTTGAGATCCTTCCTGAATTTTCAAGGAAAGACTCCAGTCATAGCCTGGGTTCAGAGGACAGACTGAGAAGCTGTATCGTCTTTGGTCTGTCAGCTGCATGCTTTATTCTTGTATCATGATAATCCACGTGCTAGATATGGATCAAATTAACAACAGTTGCCATTCACTCAGTTATTAATAAAGAAGAAAATGACTACAAGAACAAGCTTACCCAGACTTCTTGGATCATAGAAGGCTGTAGTAACTACACCACCATTTTTTTCAATTGCAGCAATAGCTAGTTCTGAAGCCAACTGTACTTCGATATTGATTTTTGCCCTAAAGGTGTCAGCACCCTGCCATAATCAAAACAAAGTCTGTTAATAAATAGCTTGAATAAAAATAATTAAGGCATGTTTTCTTTTTATTTATTTTGTATTTGTGTGTATACTGAGGAGGGAACCCAGAGGACTCTACCATTGAGATATACCCCCAGCCCTTTTTAATTTATTTTTTAATTTTTGTTTAGTTATAAGTGTACCTTTATTTCATTTATTTATTTATTTATTTATATGCGATGCTGAGGACTGAACCCAGTGCCTCACACATGCTAGGCAAGCACTCTACTACTGAGCTGACTCCAGCCCTTCAATTTATTTTTGAGGCAGGATCTTGTTAAGTTGCTAAGGCTGGCCTCAAACTTGAAATCCTCTTGCCTCAGCCTCCTGAGTTGCTGGGATTACAGGTGATCACTACATGCCCAGCTCAAGCTTTCTTTTAAATTGTACTCTCCTCTATAAAGTACCTGTAATTTAGTAATAATTTCTATTTAAATATATATCAAATTTTTTTTTACATTTTATTTAGGCCACCCTGTTTTACCAATTTTAAACCCCTGTAAGTAGAAATGGATATGTTTTCAGTTTATGTATTTAGTAGATACTAACTGCAAGTATTTCATTAATAGTAGATAAATAGTAGATGAATTAATCTTCATAGCAACTATATGGCAGGGTATTGCTATACCAACTTCACAGATAGGGATACTGAAGCATAGAGAGTTTGAGTAAATGGCCCATGATCAGAAAGCTAGGATTCTAATCCAAGAACCTAGTCACAGCATTTGAGGTAATTTTTGTTGTTTTGGTTTTTCTTTTTGTGAAGCTAGGGATGGAACCAAGGGCATTGTACTTGCTAGCCAAGCACTCAACCACTGACCTACATTCCCAGCAGATTCTTTTTTTTTTTTTTTTTTTTTTTTTTCAGATTCTGTTCTTAACTACAACATTTTGCTGCATTATAAAAACTAATCTTCCTTAGCCCTAAATAATCAAGAGGCCAAGAGGAAGTGAAAGTTTCCACAAGGGAGTTGGAACAGTGAGAAGAACAAAATATCTGGCAACACCTGAATTTTAGAGGGGGTCAGCCCTCATTTTAGGAAAAGGTAAAAAACAAAAATTCATTTGTACTCACTAGACTTTGTTATAATCTCTAAACTGAAAACAAAAAATGTATTTTTATTTACTTCCAAATAAAAGATGGCAACATTGCCACTCTTTTGTAGGAAAAGAAATTTTTTGCTATTTTGGTGTGGTTAAAACAAACTGGCCTCCAATTTGGTTTCTTTGAGTAAAAAATCTTCATGTATTTCAAAAACATTCCATCAAATCTAAAATGTAATTCTCATATTTTTACCTTTAGTATTGGTATGAATTTTTATAATCAATGGCCCCTTGGATTCATAAAACAGGGCCCTGATATATTATTTGTGATTTTTAATTACTGCTCCATAGATTGTTTAATCATCTCCCTATTCTTGGACACTGATGTCAGTTCCAGCATTCTCAGGATAATAAATAGCATTTTTAGGAAGAGCTTTATATCTTGTTTCTTTTATTACCCACTATGTACTTGTATATGTAAAATCCAGAAAATGTAAAGAATTTACAAAGCTATAAAAAATGTATGATTACATTTACTCAACCACAGCCCTAGGGTAAAGTTTTCAGGAAAATTTTTGCTAGTTTAATAGACATAGACCTGAAGTTATTGGGATGTGCAATTTAAGACCTGATGAGCTCATGGATTTTCCCATATGTTAAGATATATGTCTGTTTCCTTATACACCCAGAGTAAAATACTGAGGCTTAATCATGTATTTGGTATGCTCTTTTCAAATTATCTTATCTGAAAAGTTTAATCAGGAGACTGCTTTTTCAAACATATATTAAAGATTTTTCCATAAACATATGCTTCCCCCTAGTGGACACTAAGTTATCTACTCACCTACACAGAAGAAATAGTAGTTAATTAACCTATAAAAATTTATGTTTATGAATTCCTGGCCAATTCCTATAAACAAAACTTATTTAGTGCAATTAGAATGGGATTTGATTTATTCCATAACTCTCACCTATAAATATTCACTGAGTGACTATCATAAATGACTATTGAAAATAACAGCAATCAAATTATCTGCCCCCAGGGGAGTTTATATTCTAGTAAGGAAGACAATGACATAAATTCATAAATAATAAATACCAGATGTTAATATATATTCAAAGAAAATGCTTTGGGCAGGGTAAGGGAGAAAGTGTGACTGCAAGAGTAAGGCAAGTACTCTATAAAAAGCTGTCAAAAAACACCATCCTGACATGTTTACCTTTAAGCAGGGAACCAAAGTTAGTGAGGGAACAAGCTGTAGATGTACAGAAGATGTACAATCCAGGTCCAAAAATATCAAATAGAAAATTCCCGAAATAAAAACAATTCATCCTAAGTTTTAAACTGTGCACTGAGTAGAGTGCTAACATCTAATACCATCCCATCCCATTCTAGTATATACTACCAACTCATTAGTCTCTTACAGTACCACAGTGCTTATATTCAAGTACATATTTTTACTTACTAATGACTCCAAAGCATAAGTCTAGTGATGATCGAATTTTGTACAAGCCAAAGAGAAGCCATAAAGTACTTCATCTTGGGCTTAACAAGAAAAAAATTGTATGCTGAGATTGCTGCTAACAGCTACAGTGAATTATTAATGTTAATCTCTCCTGTCTCTAATTGATAAATTAATCTTCATCACAGATATGTATATAAAGGCAAAAACATAGTTTCAGGCCTCCACCAATGGAGCTAGTGGGAAAGGAGCCCTATTATATGGGGAATTAAAAAATTCCTTCTATTTAACAAAAAGAGGTCTAATTTAAACTTACCTCCTCAACCAGCTGGACACCATAGTCCCTTTTAAGAGGCTGGATAGTTACACCTCTCCCATTGACAAGCTGGGTTAAGTCAATAGGTTGAGTAGGATCAACTCGACCCAAATCAATAAGATACTGCAGTCTCTTGAGACTCAAAGGCTGATACTGGCGTCTGAAGCTATGAAACAACAATGTAACAGTTGGAAAATACAAATTAATTTTTCCAAAATTTTTAGAAATCAATTCAAAGCTTTGTCCTCTGTTTTCTTCCATCAGTTTTGAAGGTCTAACAAAATAAAACCCTCCTGAGTATAACACAAGCATGTAGTGTTGCTGAATTTGCAGTAATGAAATAAAACTTCCTTATTCCACTAAAAATAATTTGCCTCTCTAAAGCATTTACTTCACCTATGACACAAATTAACAAAATTAACCCACTATCTGAATTACATAGTAATAGAATATAAAGAAATAATTGCAGTTATCATTTACTAGGTAACTACAGTGGGCTAGATATTATGTGTTTATGTGTGTGTGTGTTGGAATACCATACATATACATATACATATATAATATTGAAAATGCCTGTTTTTTTATACATGAGAGCCAAATTTTCTACCTCTAGGTCTCTCCTAAAAGAAAAGAAAAAAAGAGTTTAGCATTTTCAGATGTGTATACATACGTGTGCGTGTGTGCGTGTGCGTGTGTGTGTGTGTGTGTGTGTGTGTAAATCACAATAGAGAAGCACAGACATTACCATCTTCATTTTGCAGTACCATGTTTGAGCTTTTTTCCACTACTAATCCAGGCCTAAGTCTCATTACAAAAGTGATTTGAGGACTAACAGCAAAAGGGGTTTTTTTCTAACAGTATCTCCAAAATGAACTTAATGTTTCTACTAAATTACTGTTTAGGTAATTTTCAGTGTAGATTAGGGGTTTGTACTTTGAGAAACTGCACAATCTTACCTATGTCCTTCATTAAATCCATATTTTGGGATTCGGATATAAAATGGAGTCTGGCCTCCCTCGAAGCCCAGCCGTGGCCGGGTTCCTCTCTGCCTTTCTCCTTTATGGCCTCTCCCACATTTTCTACCTCTTCTCCGACCTCTTGGTCGCCTCGCCTATAAAGAAAACAGTTGAGTTTTAAGATCTTCAGATACATTTCTAAAACCTGTATTTCGCTTCTTTGCTCTGTGTATGTGGTTAGGTCATTCACTCACCCAACCAACCAGTATTAGCTGACACTATGTTCCAACCACTGTTCTAGCTACTCAAACATACATATAGTCTATTGGCATCTGTGCCTCTGAGGATGTAATTAATTTTTGTAACCAAAATACAGTTGTGGAGAGCTGCAAGGGTGGGATGGGACTAGGGTTCTGTAACAGCCCAAAACTGGAGGGGGGGCGGGAAATCCCTAGAATTAAACATCCACAAAAAAGCTTAAGTTATAATCAAGAAAATGTTTTCATTTTAAACGTAACTGTACGTATGTAACTGTTGCCAATATACACTGTTTTATTTAAATACTTAATTTATTTTAAAAGATATTTTTCCTTAATTTACTTGCTGTCACTTCGCGTAAGCAATAAATTGAGTGTTACAATGACCGAACGTCGACCACAGCTTTTTTAGCTGTATTCGGTGAGCTGCAGAAGAGATAAATGACAAACCAATTCACGTCTTTCCGATGCCGAAAAAATACACTTTCTAGGAGAGCACTTCATTTTAAATCCAAATTTGAATTACGATCATCTCGTAGTGCTTGGTTTGCTCCTCTAATATGCTTTTAAATAAAGACCTCTTTATGAATGCAGAGCAGGCGGAAACACTTTCCTCGGTGCAGTGAAGGGATACCAGGGGTCCGGCAAGCCTACGTCCACCCCGACACCCCCAGGAAAGGCACTTCTCGGGCTTGATGTGCAGAGAAAGGCCGCTGCCATTGCCCGGGCCCCCAGCGCTCTCCCGCACCACCACCAGTCCTTTACCGGTTTCCTGGAGCCGGGATTGGGCTTTAAATTGGCCAGGCTCACACGCGGCAGGGCCCGGAGCAGGTCTAGGGACCTGGCCCCACCGGCCTGCGCTGGACCAGCCATGACCGCGAGTCCGGGAGCTTCCAAGGGCGCCCTGAGCCGCCTCCAAGGCCACGTGGTCTCGGCACAGTGCTCTACGGCCGCGGCCCCGCCCCTGTCGTGCTGCTGTCGCGCGTCGGGAGCTCTGGATTCCGGCCGTGTCTGTGGAATTTGCAATCTTGTGTCGAAAGCTAGCAACAAAGTTTTATTTTGGTACTTTGAGGCTGTGATCCTATGTTGCAAGATCCTGCTTCGTTCTCGAGTCCCCGTTTCGATTGAAAAACATTCTCTTCCGCCAAAAAAGGGCACGCACTTAAAACGGTGCGTTAGAGGGTCCTTTTTTTTCCGGTCAGTATTTGGCTTTGCATATTTTGTGTTAAGAGACAATGTCACGAAGCAATGTATTCGCTAAGCTTAATGTGGAACCCAGAATAAAATAATGTGAGCGGGATACACTGCGAGATACAAAAAAATAATACCTGGAGTGGAGTTTTTAAAATGCCTGACTTTAATATTAGTGTCTGAATTAGGATTCCAACTGAATTCTCATCTGTGTGTATCGAATACTAACTTGATTTACTATTAATGATAGGAACCACACCGAGCGCCTAGTAAGTGCCAGACAATGCGTAAAGTTGGTCTTATTCAATTTATCTAACTAAACAACCACTCTCGAGGTAGATGTTAACCTCGTTTTGCAGACAGAGGGTAAGGCGTGGCATCGACCCAGGTCGCACAACAGCAGAGCCAGCATTCAAACTTACACTGCCTCCTTCTAGTACTTTTTGTATTTTGTATTTTTGTAATGTAAGAAGGGAATATTTATTTTCGTCACAAAACACATTATTTTAACTCCAAGAATAAGTGAGTTTAAACACACTGTCTGAGTGAGTTTAATGTAAAAAAATATATATATATGTTGCTTCCCTTCTCTTTCCTTTAATATTCTTTTGCTATTTCACTGTTTTGCAAGGGAATCGTTCCTGTTGGCTCTTACTAGCAATCACAAATACTAAAGGTGAGAAACCTTTTGGAGGACATCTGTTTATGTTTAACTAAAACGCTTTGAAGTTACCTTAAATCCAGTGTAATCTAGATCCATAAAGAAGCATTTGCATTCATTCTTTTATTTAAGCAGTATGTATGAGCAATATACTGAATTTATTGCATGGATGAAATCAAGCAGGATTTTGTTCGCAGAAATCCAGGAGAGAATTTCCAAAATAAGTATTTTTGAAAGTTTTTTTTTTGTTTTTGTTTTTTTTGTTTTGTTTTGTTTTATTTTGTTTTTTTTAAGGAATACTCTTGTGTAGCCCGTGGCCAGCACAGGCTTCATAAATGAAGGTTCAGCTACATAAGAAATCCCAAGGGAGTTTTGAATTAAAGAGACAGGCTCTACTTATCTTTAAACCAGCTCTAGGATAGCTTCTCCTAGCTCCAGCCTCCAGCTACCTATTGAGTAGCGAGGTTTACTGAAGAGGCTAGCCAGAGAGACGCCAGGGAGTGGACTTTTATTGGGGAACAAAAAATTCTGAGGAAAAATCCCATCCAATGAAGATTAAGGGGGGCAGTGTCCCAAGGTCAGGTGGGACAATTGGGTCTTTGGGGTACTGGCCAGACACGCCTCCACACAGACAAGCCCTGGGACCTGAGAAGGGTGGGGAAAGCTCTGGACACAAGGATGTGTTTAAGCACCTCTGCCCAGCCAGGGAGGTAACTCAAATCATGTGCGAGGATGGCCTCCCACACTCTTGTAGATAAATTAGCAAAAATAGAAGAAATAAGATATAAGTGTTCTGCACAATTACATGAAGGTAAGGTGCAGAAGTATCAAAGAAATAGAATGTAGAGGGAAAAATAGAAGCTACTTCTTGTCTGTAATGGTTTTTGTTTGTTTTTGGTTTTGTTTGTACTGGGGTTGAACCCAGAGTCTTATGTTTGGTAGGCAAGCACTCTTCCACTCAGCTACATCTCCACCCCTTTTTTGTTTTATTTTGAAACAAGGCTTTGCTAAATTGCCCATCCAGCCTCAAATTTGCATCCTTCTGCCTTAGCCTCCTCAATAGCCAGGCTGAATGTGGTGATGCACACCTGTAATCAGAGGTTCAGAAGGGTAAGGCAGGAGGATCTCAGGTTCAAAGGCAGCCTCAGCAACATAGTGAGACTGTAAACAAACTATTGAGATCCTGTCTCAAAATAAAAATAAAAATGGTCTGGGGATGTGGCTCAGGAGTTAAGTACCTTGGGTTCAATCTCTCATAATAATAATACTAAATAGCTTTTAATTCAAAAGCCTCCATCACCTTTTTATTAGAACTTTCATATCTTTTTTTTTTAAAGAGAGAGGAGAGAGAGAGAAAGAGAATTTTTTTAATATTTATTTCTTTTAGTTATTGGTGGACACAACATCTTTGTTTGTATGTGATGCTGAGGATCGAACCTGGGCCGCACACATGCCAGGTGAGCACACTACCGCTTGAGCCACATCCCCAGCCTTAGAAATTTCATATCTTTGGGGAAAAAAATCACAAAATACACAAAGGTACATGATTTTTTTCCCTCTACTTAGAAAATAGATGTTTGCATTAAACAATGAACTTCTGGTTAAGTGTTAATACCAATAATGGTTTTTTGTTTTGGGAAATTTTTATTGAGTAAATGAGATATAGGAAATGCAAAATAATGTGCTGTGCTTCTCAGAAATAGATATTATCTTGGTTGTGTGGGTTATGTAATGTGATTGGTGGACATCAGTTAATAGTGGAAATAATAATGGTTTGCAGTTAATTGTAGGCTACTTGTTTATCTTATATTCAACATGTTAATTAAGCATATAAATCTGTCAGAATTATTTGATGAGTTTCATCTTTGCCGTAAGAATGTAAATTGAGGAGGTGTGGTGAATAAGTCAGTGATCCTTGCCTTAAGTCTGTAGAAGTTTTTCATCATCATCACAGAGTTAATATTTATTACACACCCACATGCTTGGGGTGTTGTTCTAAACCCATTTTTAGATCAAGCTAAGGAGGCCTTGTAATAAGGAAACATTTATCTCAACAACTATTCAGGGTCTATCCTGATTCCAGCCCAAGTTCATAGGGACTACTGAATCATTACATAAAAACAATGAAATGAATCCTGTAAAGATGAAGTAATTAGAAATGCCTTGGGAAAGCCCCAAGCACTCTCAAATAATCTCTCATCTGTACCAGTGCCTAATAATTTGTTAATGTAAATTGATTCCTTTGAGCTCATTATTTTAGAAACACATTCTCAAGGTGAGAGTGAAGAAATTAAAATTAAAGGAAATAAATTCATCATATGCTTTGCATGAACCCCTCATACTATCCAACAAAATGAATTGTTTGATCAACTTAATCATCTGTTATTGAGCTTAAAAAACAACAAAACTAAATCACATCTCCCTAAATGAGATAACTCATTGAATAATACCTTAACATCTTGGCAGAAATGTGAACAGGAGGAAGAAAGAATCTGCATTTATTAGACTATGATTGAATTTTACTACCTGTCCAAAAGTAAGGCATTTTCAGAATGGAACCAAGAATAGACTAGGTGTGTGATAATCAATTTTGAGAAGCAGAAAGCAAAAATAATTATTCCTTAGAGGAGGTAGGAGGAAACCAGGCCCAGGAAAGCTTTGAATTCCTTTGATTTGGGGAGAAAACTAGTATTGAGAGAGTTCTATGAAGAGGGGATAGAAGGGGGCTAGAAATCAGTCTCCTTGATGAAACCTAGTTCATTTTACAAAAGCTTAGTTCCAAGTTCACACCTAGATAGGCTTTTATTTTAATTTTATTAAAATATGGTAATGGCCACATATGTTATTTTAAAAAATCCAATAGCATATAAGGGCTTATGATGTGAAGCAAGTTTCCTATCCTATTTTTATTTTCACTTCCCAAAAGCAATTCCCTATGGTGATGAGGATCAAACCCTGGACCTTGAGCCACACCCCCAGCCCTATAAGCAATCACTTTTAGCTTTCCATTTTTGTTTCTTCCGGTGATTCCTGCTTATTAATAAATTAATAAATAAATAAAATCTCTCCACTAATTGTATGTATGGCTTTTTTTATGTTGTTTTTTCTTTGTGTGTGTGTGTGTGTGTGTGTGTGTGTGTGTGTGTGTGTGTGTGGGGATTGTACCCAGGGCCTTGTGCTAGCAAGGCAAGCACTCTACAAACTGAGTTATGTCCCCAGCCCCATTAATTTTTTTTTAATTCAACTTTCAACATTGTATTCACTTATCTTATGGTAGATGAACATTTCGATAACTTAAAACTATTTCCTCCCAGTATTTTAATTATCTCATGGTAAAGTTTGTAATTTAAATATGTAATTTCAGTACTTTAACCCATTAGATCCCAAGTTTTCAATTCTGCAACTATTTCAATGAAATTTTTGACATAGTGCATTAACATTTTTTTTTGTGTGTGTATGGTGTTGGGAATTGAACCCAGGGCCTCATGCATGCCCAACAAAACACAGGTTAATTAAAAATAGGCTGGAAATTGTACTCTAGAGCTTATATGTTATGTGTGTGAATGTTAATTAATATCATAATTACCATAATATATTATTGTATATTATATACTATATTTAAGTTTTAATACATGTTCCACTTCTATTTCTTGGATTTTCAACCTTAAAAAGTATACTTTAGCTCTTCATTCTCAATAAGATGAAGCTTTGAAATGTCTAATCTCTTATACTTCTTTGCCCCTTCTACTTTCCAAATTTTGTTAGTTGTATTTTTCTCATTGTCATGGTTTATATTATACCTGTATACTTCAAGTGATTATTTAGGAAAATAAACTATAATTACTGTATTTGCTATCTCTAGACCCATCTAGAGCAATTTTCAGTGTTCACCTCTTTACTGACTGCAAAGAACTAACTTTCAGGTTGACAGGCTTCTTTTAAATTCTTAATCAGAAATCTCAAATTGGTTATTCAGTTTTCTAGAAACTTACTTTTTCACTTCCCAAGATTACAATTTTTTATCTTTTTTCTTCTTCAGCTAACGATTCTTTTCTTTAAAAAAATATATATATATATAGTGAGATTGGGAAC